AGCATTTATTAGTCTTTAATGTCTCTAGCAAGACATTGGGCTCTTTTAGCCTAGATCAAATATCTTGTTATGCAACCCCTCCTTAACGGGGTAAATGGATTTTTGAACCCCATCCAACAAATTGCTCCCTAAGGAACTCATTGGATTTGATTTAAATGACATTGACGGTCTTTGGTCAAAACAACTCTTAGGTTTCCATACCCTTGGAACACTTGACTTTAACGCAACTTTCCTTGCTTTTAAGTTGGTAGACAAACCATGAAAATGTTCAACATCAAGTAAAGACTTAACTTCATTAAATTCATGGTTTACACATTCCTCTACAACACACACTTCTTTATGTTGGTCCATTGAATTCGGGGTTGAGTTAAAAATGTTCAACTTCACTTTCATATGGCCAAATGAGATTTTTATTATCCCCATCCTATAATTGATGTTGGCATTTGAAGTTGCCAAGAAAGGACGGCCAAGGATAACAGGAATTTGGCTTTTGGGATTCGGAACCGGTTCTGTGTCAATGACAACGAAATTGACCGGGAAGAAGAACTTATCAATTTTAATCAAAACATCCTCAATGATACCCCGGGGCTTTTTGATGGATCGGTCGGCAAGTTGCAAAACTACCGACATCGGTTTCAAGTCTCCTAAGCCTAATTTGACATATACTGAGTATGGAAGAAGGTTAAAACTTGTTCCTAAGTCTAAGAGAGCCCGATTGATGACATGGTCACCAATGATACAAGAAGTAGTAGGTGAATCGGGGTCTTTGAACTTTGGGAGAGTGTTATGTTGTAAAATAGATCTCACTTGCTCGGTCAAGACCACTTTTCTTGGTGCTTGGCTTTTGTTCTTCCTCTTTTGAGTGCAAAGATCTTTTAAGAACTTGGCGTAAGCTGGAATTTGCTTAATTGCATCCAAAAGTGGAAGATTAATTTTCACTTGCCTAAATATTTCAATGATTTCATTGGTCTTGGTCTTTTTTTTATCAAGATAAATGGATTCTTTCAAGGCATCCAGAAATCGAGCTCTTGGCTCAAAAGCTTTCTTTGAAACATCATCAACACAAGAATTTTTCAAATCCTTTTTTAAATCATGCTTTGATTCATCTTTCAAATCATTTTTCAATGGTTTCTCAACATAATGATCATGCACATGCAATGAAGGAGGAATAAAATGTGAAACGGGATGGGTGTCAACTTTTGGTTGCATCGGTTCACTCTCTTCATTGGACACACCTATTTCTTTGTCCACAATCTTCCCACTCCTTAAGGTTGTCATTGCATTGACATGCTCAATTGTTGGACCTTCCGATAAGGAATGAGTCTCCACAACACATTATTGCTTTGGTGGGGCATTCAAAGACATTTTCCCTTTCTCTCTAGCATTTAAAGTACTAGCTATTTACCCTACTTGGGTTTCTAGCTTAGCAATGGATCGAGAGTGAGAATGAAGCAATTGAGTGTTCGCCTCTAGAGTGCCTAAAATGGTTAAAACTTTTTCTTTAAAAGTGGGACTCCTAGAATTTCCTTGAGAATATGATTGATTTGGAAAATGAGAATTTGAAAATTGATTGCCATGTGATTGAAATGATGATGATCTAAAAATTTGGGAACCTTAGCTTTGCATTGGAGGTGGAACATACTTTCTTGGAAAACCACCTTGGGGAGGGTTTGAGCCTTCCTCTTAGCTTTTCCAAGAAAAATTCGGGTGATTCCTCCAACTAGAATTATAATGATTGCCATAAGGATTATTCCATTGGTTAGCAAAAATGGCATTTGCTTACTCATGGTTGTCATTTTGCACATGTCCATGGGGACAATTGGAAGTAGAATGTAACATACTAGAACAAGTCATACATGATTCATTAGATGCACGATGATGCACATGATTAGGGGAGGAAGACATTTGATTCGCCGAAGTTTGGTTGATCAAAAATTGATCAAACCTTTGAGATAAGGATTTTATCTCGGTGGCTATATCATTGGAGTTGTCAACTTGATACAAGCCAACATTCTTCCTTCTACCTAGATTTCTACCATTTTTAAAAGACAAAGATCTATGCATGGAATTTTCACTTATACTTTCATACAATTGCCACATATCATTTTCATGCTTATCAAGATAAGAACGACCTATAGATACGTCAACCATACCCTTGTGATTATCCGGTAAACTTTCGAAGAAATATTGAACTAATTACCACTTAGGTACGTCATGATGTGGGCACTGCCTAAGCAAGTCATTGAATCATTCCCATGCCTCATGAAACATTTCCCCATCCCTTTGAGAAAATTCACGAATGGAAGTTCTCATGGCATTGGTCTTCGAAACCGGGTAGTACTTCTTCAAGAACTCTTGTTGCATTTCTGCCCAAGAAGTTATCGAAAAAGGCCTAAGATTGTTAAACCAATATTTTGTCTTGTCTTTGACGGTAAAAGGAAAAAGTTTGAGTCTTAACACTTCTTTTGGCATGTTTGTGTATTTCACGGTGGAACACACTTCAAGAAACTCATCCAAATGCTTATAGGGTTCTTCATTTGGAAGTCCATGATAGTTAGGAAGCATTTGAATGGTTTGTGGTTTGATTTCATAGTGACTTCTCATGTATCTCGAGTGTCTTCTCAAGGAGTAATTCTGGTTTGGCCTTTATTTCTATTACTTTTAACACTTGGGTTATTGATTCAGGGGCCACTGATCATATGACTAGTAACTCTTCCATACTTGACTCTCTAATACCTTCACCTGTTAAGTCTGTTCAGGTTGCTAACGGGATTCCTATGCCAATTACAGGGGCTGGGAATGTCTCACTTTCTCCTACATTCTCCATGTCTTCAGTTTTACTTGCACCTAATCTCTCTAACAACCTTCTTTCCATTAGAAAAATTACCAAAAAACTTAATTGCTCTGCAACTTTTCATTCTACCCATTGTATGTTTCAGGACAATCTTACGAAGATGACGATTGGCATTGGTAAGGAGAGAGGAGGTCTTTACTACTTGGAGAAAGGGGTAAGGGAGTTAAAATCTGAACCTTGCTGTGGTTTTCAAGTAAAGAGAGAGTCTGACAGAGAGAAGATATTTTTATGGCATTGTCGTTTGGGACAACCATCTTTCTCTTATTTAGAACGTTTATTTCCTAAGTTATTTTGCAATATTTCTACTTCTAGTTTAGGGTGTGAATAATGTATTTATGCTAAAAACCATCGTGTTCCTTTTAAAGTGAGTTTCAATACAAGTCCTATTCATTTTTCATGTGTTTACACAGATGTGTGGGGTCATTTTTCTACTCATTCTGCTTCGGGCCATAAATACTTTATATCTTTTATTGATGACTGTATTAGAGTGACTTAGGTTTATTTGCTAAAATCTAAGAGTGATGTTATACATGTTATTCCTTAGTTTTACAAAATGATTGTCACCCAATTTCATAATCAGGTTCAGGTTTTCCACTCTGACAACGGTGGTGAGTATGTGAATCAATCTCTTATTGATTTCTTCAAACAACATGGTATCCTCCCCCAGACAACATGCGCTTACACGCCACAACAAAATGGCATAGCAGAGTGCAAGAATCGTCATCTCTTAGAGGTGGCTCATACCTTATGCTTTACGATGAATGTTCCTAAGCGATTCTGGGCTGAGGCTGTCATGACTGCTGTTTTTCTTATCAACGGAATGCCTTCTAGTATAATTAAATATCAAACTCCATTGAGAATGCTATCCCGATTTCACTTTATTCCTTCTACACTTAATCTTTGTCCTAGGGTTTTCTATTGTGTGTGTTATGTTCATATACATTCTTTTCATAGGGATAAACTTGACCCTCGTGCTCTTAAGTGTGTCTTCCTTGGTTACTCTAGTTCACAAAAGGCCTATAAATGTTTTCATCCTCCTATAAGTAAATACTATATGTCCATGGATGTTCAGTTTTCTGAAAGTGAGTCTTATTTTTTTGGGGATGTATCTCTGATTCCTCTTCAGGGGGAGATTAATAGTAAGGAAGAGAAACGGTTATGGCTGGAAGAAAAGAGGTTGTGGATTTCAGGTAAGGAGGATGATTTAGCTGTTATAAAAAAAGAACATTTAGATACTCTTGATCATGTGGAGACTGAGTTCGATGAAAAAATAGGTAAAAGACTAGCCCACTTGTTTAAAGAAGTATATGTGAGAAGGAACAAGGATGCCACTATCATGCTCCCTCCTTCTAACTCTAGTACCCCTCTTGATGATACTATCATGCCATTGGATAAATCTTCTAGGATTAACTTTAAGGTACATGTTTCTTCTCCTTTAACATCAACTTCAGATATTAATTCTAACCTTGTAACTTCTGTGGAATCCATAGGTTGGTGATCAGGGTAGGAGGTATCCTTTTTGTGATCGTAAAGAACCTGATAGGTTGGGTTTCTCCAAATTTTCTTCTAATGTTGTCTATCCTATCTCTGATTTTGTTTCCTATCACCGTCTGTCTAAGACTCACCTAGCTTTTGCCCTTCAGTTATCTTCTGTGTCTGTTCCTAGTTATTTTTAGGATGCCCTTGGAGATCCTAAGTGGAAGGTTGCTATGGTAGAGGAAATGAAGGCTCTCCAGAAGAACTCTACTTGGGAGTTGGTCGAGTTACCTCAGGAAAAAAGATAGTGGGATATAAATGGGTGTTTACAGTGAAGTATAAGCCAGATGGGACAGTTGAGAGGTACAAGGCTAGATTAGTTGCCAAGGGATACACTCAGACTTATGGGATAAATATTCAAGAGACCTTCGCTCCTGTGGCCAAGATGAACACTGTTCAAGTTATACTCTCTCTTGAAGTTAATTTGGACTAGCCATTACAACAGTTTGATGTGAAGAATGCCTTCCTACATGGTGATTTGATAGAGGAGGTGTATATAGATCCTCCCCCGGGGTTTACACCCGAAGGAGGTAAGGTATACAAGCTAAAAAAGGCTTTGTATGGGTTAAAACAATAACCAAGAGCATGGCTTAGCGGGTTAAGCTACTCAATGAAGAAGTATGGTTTTAAGCAAGCTTTGGTAGATCACACTCTCTTCTATAAGAGGAATGGTGATGATATTACTTTGCTTATCGTTTATATGGATGACATGATTGTTATAGGTAGCAACACCAATGAGATAGAGAAGCTTCGGAGCTATTTGGCCAAGGAATTTGAAATGAAGGACTTGGGGGTTCTGAAATACTTTCTGGGCATTGAAGTGTCTCGGTTCAAGCAGGAACTTTTTATCTCTCAACAAAAGTATACATTAGATCTCTTGGCTGAAACTGGTAACTCTGCGTGTGTTCCTATAGACACTCCTATTGAAGTAAATCATGGCTTAGCTATCTATCTTGATCAGATTTTGACAAACAAGGAGAGATAACAGAGAATAGTGGGGAAGTTGATCTATCTGACTCACACTAGGCCTGACTTGTCGTATGTAGTTAGTGTTGTGAGTCAATTCATGCAGAATCCGAATGACCGACATATGAATGCAGTGAATCATATTTTGGCTTATCTAAAGTCCTCTCTAGGTAAAGGTATTATATTCTCCAGGCATAGACACCTAGACATTATAGGTTATACAGATTTTGATTTTGCGGGTGCCAAGTTGGATAGGAAGACTACTTCAGGGTATGTGTCATTCGTTGGAGGCAATTTGGTGACTTGGAGGAGTAAGAAACAGAATGTGGTATCGTTGTCTAGTGCAGAAGCTGAATACCGTGCTCTTCATCATGCAATTACGGAGCTTACATGGTTGAAGATTCTCTTAAGTGAGCTTGGGTATGGTTTAAGAAACCTAGATTGATTTTTTGTGATAATACGGCAGCTATTGATATTACTAATAATCTAGTGTAACATGATCGAACTAAGCATATTGAACTTGACCGTAACTACATCAAGGATAACCTGGATTCTGGTGTGATAGAGGTTCCTTACATTAAGAGTGAAAACTAGTAGGCTGATATGATGACTCATGGTATTACTAGTGGCTCGTTTCATACATCACTATCCAAGTTGGGCATGTACGATATCTATGCACCAACTTGAGGGGGAGAGTTAGCGTGTACAGCTGAATGTACAACTGTTATCTATTAAGAGTTACAGTTGAATGTACAGCTGAATGTACAGCTGTATGTACAGCTGTTATCTATTAAGAGTTACAGCTGTTATCTATTAGGAGTTAGCGCGTATTAACTGTCAAATTAATTGAATAGTTAACTTACCTTGAATAGGTCTGTGTATTCTGTATAAATACCCTTGAGATATATGAAAGAAATATAACTTTTTCTACCATTTATCAATTTACCAACCATTGACTACAGACATAGAACAACAAAAATGGCACAGGGAGGAGTTTTGGGTGGCAATTTTTTTATCTAATCCATACTAGGCCTGTGGTGGAACGTCATCCGCCACTTCTTTCCCGTTTCCTAAAAAATGTTAAAATGAAGGGGTGAGCAAATTGCCCAATAAGTGGTGCCTAACACACACCTCTTGTGACCCCGTGAATCCAAATAAGGAATAGGAAAATAGAGGACAGGATCATACAACTCCGGGGAGAAAATTTGACAATAATATCAACAGCAAACAACCCAAATCATAACGAGCCATGCTATGCAATGCAATACAATGTCATGCAATGTCGTCCCCTATTTCCAAAAAAAAAAAAAAACCTTTTCCGTCATCATTTCCAAACCGTTAATGTAACCCGCCCCAGAACAACTCCGTGGCGGCAAGAGAGAAGGATTGGCTAACTGTCCCTGACCCATGGCAACTCCATGGTGTCATTTGGGGCCCAAGTAACTCAACCACGCTAGGAAAATCTCCCCAGTTCCCTCTAGGCCACACTAACGCCGCGGTCCCTAGGCAACTCCTAGGCGGCCGGGTTTTCACAAACCCTTTTCAAAGCTTTTTTCCCAAAACCTTTTTCATTTCCTTTAAAATCAACTTCCCATTTATTTCCCAATGCTTATGCATAAAATTACACAATTCTACTTCAACAACCTTGCATGCTTAATAAGGAAATTCACACACAACATCTCATACTCACAATTAGTATAATTTTCAACAACAACATATTAAAATTAAGAACATAATCATTTAAGCATGCCTTTATAATGTCTCTTCAATAAATCAATTATGCATACCATTTAAGCATGAAATTCATATAACTTATACAATTCAACCTTAACAACTTACATGCTTAATAAGGAATTTTATACAAAACCTAAAATGCTTACACTTAGCATAATCTCAACAATCACACATCTAAATTAAAAATATAATCATTTAAGCATGTCTATATCATATTTCATCATCAATCAACATACACATCACTAAACATGAAATTTACATGGAATTATAATTCATACACATAACATTAAGACAAGTTACCATGAATTAATCACAATTTAACATGTTATACTACAAATTAAGAGAGAATAATTCACCAAGAACCAAGAGATTATAGATTAAACACCTTTACCTCCAAAATGATGAAAAACCCCAATTTTTGCCCTAATTTTGAAAATCCTAGGATGCACCAAAACTGAAATTACTTGCACCCACTTGAAGATCTCGCTGAGCTCTTCGATTTTGCTTTAAGAAATGTTTTCAAAATCCCAATAAAAATGGCTAGATCAGAGCTTGTTTGTAGAGAAGAGAAAAAGGAAAAAGAAACTAACGTGAGGAAGAGAATGGAGCCGCAGAGAGTGTATATGATGGTCAACCAAATAACTAATAAGTTATAGTAATGAATAAAACAAGTGTGGGTCCCATGGCCAATAAAATAATATATCAAAAACATTACATTCTTTCCAACTTTAAAAAGATTTTATCCCCAAAATGAAGGCATACCTAGGGAAAAAAACAACACTGGATACTTGGAGTGAATCTCCTGTTCGAGCTCCCAAGTAGTGATAAGCGCCGAATACTGTATATTCAAGCGCCCTAAATTGCATTAGTTAAGTCCGTTGTTTGTTTAATTAAGTAGATTATCTTCATTTATGTGTATGTATATATTTTCAGGTCCATTTGCCAAAAAAGGAGCAAAATCAAGGCTTTGTGGAGTTTTGGCCATCAAAAGGCACAAGGCTGAATTTCTGGCAGCAGTGGATCCTGAACTTTACTCACCATTTTGACCTTGAAAACTTGGGAACTGGACTTCCCTCATAACATGAAACATTTAGAGCTCTGAATCAGCTTTCCAAATCTTCAAACGGTTTGTCATTCGGAGCTCGGAGCAGAGAGTTATGTCCTTGTTACCAGAGGTGCGCAGAACTGCCTGGCAGCAATGCAATTCTGCCTTGATCTTCATTTTCGACCAACCATCCTTGAGAATTGGATCTCCACCAAAACATGAAGTATTTAAAGCTCTGAATTAGGTCTCTAAATATTCAAACGGTTTGTCATTCGGAGTTCGGAGTGCAAAGTTATGGCCATTTCATCAAAGTAGGTCCGGGCGGAGCAAGGCAAGAATGGAGCATTCTGCTCCAATTTCGAGTGCTCGAGCCCTTATTTCGAGTGCTCGAAATTAGGGCAGAATTGCACTTGGGAATGGCCCATTTTCAGCCACTTGCATCTTGGGTTCCTCAATTCTAATTTCCCTCTTTAATGGTTGGTTGGAGATGTTGGTTGGTGGGGGTTTTTAGAGCCTTATCTATACAAGAGAAGGGAAGCAAGGCCACATATATCATTAAGCTTCATTTTGGGAAGAGAGAGGAGAAAGAAGAGAGCAAGGAGGAGGAGTTCTTGAAGCTTCAAGGAGGAAGCTCGAAAATGGAGGAGAAAGCCTTGCTTTTTCTTTCATCTAGGCTCACTCATGGGTAACTAAACCTCATCTAGGGAGGTGATGAAGCCTCCCCTTTTGCTTATGTTCTAGATTAGGATCTATTTTGGGGATTATGATGTATCATTTTTGGTATTTTCATAATCTAGAGCATATTACTTCTTGTAATGAATTCTAATGTTTATAAATGATTGTTGTAAGTGATTTATCTTGTCTTAGATGGTTTCTTGTAGTAATCATAATGCTTGCTTCTTCATGGTGACAATGGAGATAGGATTATGAATAATTTTCAAGGCATATTGATAGAGAAAATGGATAGTCCATTGCTTAGGAACTTCCTTTGATTGGTTATGCTAGTTTCCTACCTCATGTGCTTTATTATTTGATTACAAACTTGATAGTTCTTGCTTGAGTGAGTATGTTGAAGGCTACACTTTAGTTTAGGTAGCTCAAATGTATTAATTTTTGAGGGATTATTCTTGTTTAATGATTTAATGAACTTCTCTAAGGGTATATGGTAATCTAGTGTTGCTATATATTCCGTGACCATTTTATACATTGTACTTCCCCAATTTAGCCTTAATCTAGCATGTACTTAGGGTGTAGTGTGGATTCATCTCCCTAGTCTTTTCTACTTGTATCTCACTCCTTTAATTTCCTTGCAATTTATTGTTTTATGCACTTCAATTACTAGCTTAGTGACAAACCAATCTAACAAACCCTTATTACCCCTTATCATTCTAAGAACAATTCTAGACTCTTAGGTTGCCATAGACTAGCGCAGTCCCAGTGGTTCGACTTACCCGACCAATAGCCCTATTTTACAATGATTCGTGCTATTGCGAAGGTTGATGTTTAATTGACCAACCGATCAATTTTTGGCGCCGTTGCCGGGGACTGCAAACGGTTTAGCGACCAAAGTTCTAGGGTTAATTTTAGTTTGATTGTTAATATTGTGTCTTGTGAATATTCCTTGTGTGTTTTGATCATCTTCGTGTTGTAAGATTCTAGGGACTCGAAGCTCGCCGTGGGATTGCTAGCAAATTGTAAATCTAGAAGACCCCAGGTAAGTCTTGTGACTTCTAGTTTCGAATTGTGGATATCGTGCATGTGTTAAGCTTAGAAGTAGATAAATTGCAAGCCCTTGTCGAGGCTATTTCAATTGTGTATTTTCAATTCCAAGCATCGGTCCTTGTCGTGGCCATTTTAATTTTTGTCTTGATAATTGAGGAGAAAGGGAATATCATATGTGGAGGTTATGGTGATGAAGTGTTGTGTTGATTGCTTTGTGTGTTGTTGAATTACTCCTAGATGGAGAATAATTATCTCCCAACTCAATTCTACACACCACATGTGTTTTGTGCTTGTTGCTCTAGTAATACACATCATACAAGAGATTGTCTTCCAACGAGACAATTCTCGGATTTTTATCTAGAGCAACCAAATGTAAATTTCTCTGAACCGGGTAGTGATCCATACTTCAATGGTTATAACTCGGGTTCAGGAGATCATCAAAACTTCTTGTGGTATGACATAGGAAATTCAGCCCCACAATCTCTTGGGCAACATTTTCACTCCAATTTTCAACCCAATGATCATTATTTCCAGCCCTCTTCTTCTCCTTTTCTACCGTCTCCATTGGATGAGTTAATAGCTGCCAACGAACAAATGATAGAGTCTATGCATACGCAAATGATGGAGTCTAACAAGTAAATGTTGGATGACATTGTTAGCATGCAATCCACCACTTATGCTCATTCCCAATCTAGAGTTGATTTAGATGACCAGATAGCCCAAATTCAACAAATGGTTGATGTTCTAAATCAAGAAAAGGAAGAAGAATTTCCAATTGAACTTGTGGTCAATCCAAAAGAGAATTCTATGAATGATGAGTTTACTTCTAGTAATTTTCATCACGAGAATGTTCAAGTGGTTACCGCATGTGAAAATGAAGAAATAGTGGGTGAAGATCAAATTGTCGCCACACAAAAAATTGAAGAATTTGTGGTTCAAAATGA